CCGACCTTGAGCAACGTCGTAATTCATTCGAAGGGAAGCCCCTTCCCTTTGATCCCTCCCCCGCCGGGAGGGGGGGGGGGTAGCGACCCCCCCCCGGGTCAGATACGACGCCCCCCCCCCGTACCGACCTTGAGCAACGTCGTAATTCAGTCGAAGGGAAGCCCCTTTCCTTTCCCTCCCCCGCCAGGAGGAGGAGGGGGGGTAGCGATCCCCCTCCCGGGTCAGATACGACGCCCCCCCCGTAACCGGGACCTTAGCAACGTCGGTAATTCAGTCGAAGGAAGCCCCTTCCATTTTCCCTCCTCTCGCCGGGAGAGGGGGGGGGCGGTAGCTAGCGACCCCCTCCCTGGTCAGATACGACGCCCCCCCCCCGTGCCGACCTTGAGCAACGTCGTAATCCGCCGACCCTGTCGGCGTGTGTGAGGGGCTTTTCCGTTCGAGCCGTCCTCTCCGTTATTCTTTGCACTCGTCGTCTCTGTCCTTCCCTTTCCCTGGGACTCTTCTTCCCCTGGGCTCCAGCCAAGCCGACCTTGAGCAACGTCGTAATTCAATCGAAGGGAAGCCCCTTCCTTCCCTTTGATCCCTCCCCCGCCGGGAGGGGGGGGGGGGGGCTACCCCCCCCCTGGTGTCAGATACGACGCCCCCCCGCCCGTACCGACCTTGAGCAACGTCTATTGAGTCGAAGGAATCCCCTCCCTTTGATCCTCCCCCGCCGGGAGGGTGGGGGGGGGGGTAGCGACCCCCCCACGGGTCAATACGCGCCCCCCCCCCGTACCGAGCTTGAACAACGTCGTAATTTAAGTCGGAAGAAGCCCCTTCCCTTTGTGACCCCTCCCCCGCCGGGATGGGAGGGGGGGGTAGCGACCCCCCCCCGGGTCAGATACGACGCCCCCCCCCCGTGACCGACCTTGAGCAACCTCGTAATTGAGTCGAAGGGAAGCCCCTTCCCTTTGATCCCTCCCCCGCCGGGTGGGGGGGGGGGTAGCGACCCCCCCCCCCCGGGTCAGATACGACGCCCCCCCCTGGGACTCCTCTTCCCCTGGGCTCCAGCCAAGCCGACCTTGAGCAACGTCGTAATTGAGTCGAAGGGAAGCCCCTTCCCTTTGATCCCTCCCCTGCCGGGAGGGGGGGGGGGTAGCGGGGGGCGGTAGCGACCCCCCCCCGGGTCAGATGCGACGCCCCCCCCCGTACCGACCTTGAGCAACGTCGTAATTGAGTCGAAGGGAAGCACCTTCCCTTTCCCTTCCCCGACGGGGGGGGGAGAGGGGGTCCCGGGGGGGGTCCCAGGGGAGTCCCGGGGAAGTCCCGGGTCAGATACGACACCTCCCTCCCCCACCTTCTCGTCCTTCTCCCCGTTCCCCAAAACCCTGCCACAGCCCGTGCCTCTTGCTGCGCATTGCGAACAGGGTCGGCGGCACCGGCCGTAAGGCCTTCGCAATCACATCGATGTAACGAATGTGCCCCGTAAGCCGTCATGATCGATTTGAAAATGTACTTTGTTTGGTTGCCAACAGCATCACTGCCATATATGGTGAGGGGCATGTTCAAAAGAGACATGCAAGTATTTACGGCGATGACAACATAACAAGTGTGAAACAACGCGGGGGCAACACCCATATCCCGTGTCAAAGGCGCTAGCTAGATCAACTAGACCTGGAACAACTGGAATGCACCTTTCGCCGATGGGCACCAACACCAACAAAGGGGTTTGCCTCCACCGGGAGAAGATGATCCTGGATGCTGGTGCTGCTGGAAATAGTTCGGCCCTCCCCAGGAAGCGCGAATCATGCCACCAGTACCGAGATCGGGAACATCTTCCCTCGGTGGAGGCAGACCGCCGATATTGGTGTTGTTGTCAACCTCTAGGACTCCGAAATTATGCGGCACACGTTATACCGCATGCGCAAGCCCTGCCTGACGCTTAGCCTAGCAAGCACGGTTCAAAGTTCAAACAATAGCTTGAACTTGGCAAGCAAAGTTCATTCATGCTCAATTGCAAGAACCTCTCGGGCACACAGAACTAGCAGAGTCCCACCAACCTTGTGGCGTTGGGTGGTCTAACGAGATGTCGTTCCTCTTCCGCAAACCTGTCCGTTCCGGGTGGTGTATATCCCCCTTCCCTGGAGTTTGTTTAGGGGTTCCGCGAGGCGTTAGAGCGTCCAAGATGGCCCAAGATGGCCCCAAGAGGGCGTCCGATGCTCCATAATGGCCTCGCTTCTAGTACGCTTTTGAGGCCCCACGATAGCCCCAGGATTGTCCAAGCGAGGTCCAAGAGGGGCCCAAGAGGCCCCCCAAGAGGCACCAAGAGAGCCCCAAGGGGCGATGCGAATGGCCCCGGGGGGGGAGGCACATTTAAGACCCCCTCTTTTAACCGATGACCTCCAAGATGGCCCCGGGAGGCCTTCCAGGGCTCGCTTGGGAGGGAGCCCCACAAGGGCTCCAAGATGGCTCCAAGACGGCCCTGAGCCCCCCCACAAGAGCCTCAGGACCCCAAGGTCACCCAAAAGAGGTCCAAGAGGGGCCCACGAGGCCCTCCAAACGGCCCCGAGAGCGCCCATGAGCGGCCCAAGAAGCCCCAAGAGAGCTCCAGGGGCGATTCTGATGGCCTCAGGGGGGAAGGCACATTCAGGACCCCCCTTTTGACCGATGGCCTCCGAGATGGCCCCAAGAGATCCCCCATGGCTCTCAAGTGACCCCCACGAAGGGCTCCAAGAGGGCTCTAAGAGGGCCCTAAGACCCCGAACACGAGCCCCAAGAGGAACCCATGGTCACCCAAAAGAGTTCCAAGAGGGCTCCAAGATGCGACGGTTAGGGCTCTGCCCTCGTCCTCGTTGTCCTCCTCCTCCGCCTCGTCGACCTTGCCCTCATCGTCTTCCTGGTCCTGTTCCTCCTCTTCCTCGTCGTCGTCGTCGTCCTCCTCCTCCTTCTCCTCCTCCTCCTCCTCCAATTCTTCCTTCCCTCGCCCCCACGCGGGACCCAAGGATGGCCCGAAGATGCCCTCGAAAGCTACCCCCTTGCTCCCAAAGATCTCTCTGTTCACCCTATATGTGTCTCTTCGTCCCGTGTCCCGTCAACTCTCATGGGCGATGGTTTCGAATATGCTGGTAAGGGGTACGCGAAGCGTGAAGATCTGTTTTGCCCAACGCAACGTGAGCACGCGGCGCGCGATCCACGGTTAAACCATTCAAGCAAAGCATTCAAATGGCAGAGTCGTATCATTCAACCGCCCAATCCTCCCTCCCCACTGCGAAGACCGCACGACATTCTTTCAATCAACTGCGCCAGCACCAAGATCTCACGATCTTGTGCACGTGCGAGTCCCGAAAGAATACCCTACTGACTCTATGGCCGCGCGCCCACCTCGAAGACGTGTCCCGTCCAGTATCGGTTGCACCAGGGAGGGTCCCCCCTCGGCAAATTGGAACAAGATTTGGCAGGGCTTGGTCGCAAGGCAACTCTATTTGGCTGCCGTCGAGACTCCCCAAACTATGAACCCTGTCGCACACCACTGAAGCCGCCTAATGCTCGCCAGCTGATTTCAGGCACTTCAAACTGAATGGCGACTGGTACACGGGGAACTCTACTTAACACAATGCTGTAGCACGTATCAAAAGCGGGCCGAAGCACCGCCCATCAAGAACCACCGCCATGCACCGACTATCGGAAACGGTCGCCGCGGTGAAACTGCAACTGATGCGGCTCTCCGCGAACGCCAACTAAATTCCAATGCAGCACTAGCTATTCAAGCGGCAGCCTTGCTCAACGAAGAATCACGGGCAGGCGTGATTGATTTGGCCGTCTGTTTCCCCGCTCGACACCCCGCTCTCTGAGACGCGAGTATCAGCACCGATGGCGAGACTTCGATCTACTACCCCCGACTGATCTGAACCTCTTCTACCCATCATTCATCGCGAGCAATCCTGACCGTGGGCTGCCGCTGCTGCGCTTAAAACTGCTGCAACCGTTTAAACAAATCGGGGTACCTTCCATGCACCGCGCGGCATCGGATACCCCGAAAACTCCAGGGCTGAGACACATTGAGTTTACATGCGAGCAACACAGCAGGAAAGCGGAGAAGGTGACGTGACTGATAGATAAATGCCCATGAATCAAAGTCCCGAACATAGAAGCAATGCATCATGTTGTACGGGTGTACATGCGCTTGCTCGTGTAAACATACTTGGGGGTGCCAACCTGCGACAGCAACATGCCTTACCGGGTAAGACGAATAGCACGGATCCCCTATGGGTTCGAGGTGCGCCTGCAAATTGGTCGCCGTACCCCGCTATGACCTTGCACTTCTATCACACAACGAAAACAACAAAAAGAAAAGGCGCAAGTCATCACGTTGGGAACCCATGACTTAACAAATACAAGAAACCCAACCAACCCTCTTGGCGTATGAAGTTCTGTAGACGACCGGTGTAAAACCAGCACTTGTCCCCTGCCCCCAAGCCCCAGAAAGGGAGGTCTGGACCAGGTGGACTTTGAGTCGGCCGAGCGACCAAGGCGTGGGAAAGCAAACATAGTATCAACGACACGCCGCCGTGGCGAACCCATCAACGCGTGACAGCAACAGGTTGTGCGTGAGTGTTGTGTTGCTGGCGACTGAATGGAGCCCAAGATGGCCCCAGGAGTGACCCCCCAGAGGTCACAAGCTGCCCAAATACCGCCCAATCTGGCCAACACAGCCCCACCCCACGATGGCCAGCAAGCCGTCTCCAGATCCCCCGAATGTAGACCCAACATTTCCCAGTCACAAGTGTGCCCAATACTGCGAAGTCAAAACTGTGCAATGTGCTTGTAATCAAATGGCTTGCGAATCCAAAACCTCAAGATAGGAACAAGATGTACAGCCGTTTCCATCACGACTACCCCAAACAACGAAACCACTAGATGGGCGGGGGGACAGCAACAAAGGGATACGGCCTGCTGGCTCGCACGTGTCAGCATCAGGTTCGATCCAGCGACACTGGCCGTCTCTCGAACTGGGAAGCCAGAAGCCTCCTGAGAGGACTTGACCGTCTGCGGCATCCCGGCGCCGAAACTGTGGCAGTCTTGCTCAGCGAGGAATGCAGGATCGTGTGTGGGCCCCGCTTGTTCTGGAATGCTCTTGCCTTACGTAACCACACGCACACGCATTCCTTGCGAGCGACTGTGCCGAAGCGGCAGATGAACCGCGTTGCCCGCGAGGCATACGTTTCAGGCTTGCCAGCGTGCCCGACGTCGGGTCGGTGTATGCGCGCGTGGGCCCCACTTGTCACGAAACGCCTCGAGAGCTCCGCGGCTGCTGGCGGTGGGGGCGGCTACGTCCTTCCAGGGCGGACCTCAAGTGGTCCTCCGAGGCACAGACCCGCTCGAGAAGCAGGGCCCTGCCAACGTCTGCGAACGCCGAGCCGTGCGCTGGCAGGCCCGGAGCAGTGCCCGAGCCCGAGCACATCAGGGCAGGAGGCAGGCCCGCTGGAGCCACAAAGCAGCCAGGCACGCGGGACATGGCCGCCGCATCCTCGCGGTCCTCATGTTTGCCCACGCAAGCGGCCACTCGCGCAGAGGCGCAGCAGGAACCGTCAGGCTCGCCATCGGAAACAACGGCGGCGATATCACTCACTGTCCTCAGAGAAGCTGGCTTCTCCTGCGAGGTCCCTGATCACGCTGACATCGGAGAGGTCGAAATCCTCCTGATCGTCGCGCGTGGAATCCGTGGCCTCTGTGCGGGTTTCGCTCAGCCCCGCCTCGCTTCGCCCGAAACTGCCCGCGAGCTCCGTGGCGACCCGCGTCAGCACCCTGGGCACCTGGCGCCCTGGGGACTTCTTCTCAGCTGATGGCGGGCTGGCCTCCATAATTGCCTGATCTGGAAGAAAAGAAATCCTCACAAACATCAACTTTCGAAGGTCCGCGGGTCCGCGCGGATTTCTCCGATCGACGCTAGGCCCCCCCTCCTCTTGATGCGCGGAACGCGCCAAGGGCGGCGCCAGAGGCGCCGCCAGGGAGGCCCAACGCCGATCCCAGATCCCAGAAAGCCGCGCGGCCATGAGATCCGACATCGCGACTCAAACGCAGCATCGTGAAGGGAACCCTGGGCCCCACCCACCTTTCTGCGGGACCGCCGGAAAATTCTGCTCAGCGCTGACGTCTCTTCTCCGCTGATCCACCAGGCACGCGATCTGTGCCTCCAGCGCGTCCCACGACCTGGCCCTGTGCAGGGCCAGCTCCGCCCAGCGGGCCCTGGGCAGCGCGCCCGACTGGCCGCCGGCCTCGGTGCCCTCGCCGCGCGGCGCGCGGCGCGCCGCGGCCGCCAGGTCGCTCCGGCTGCCGTGCAGGAGGACGCCGGCAGGGGTGGGGCCCCCGCCCTCGCGCGGCGCCAGCGCCAGCGCGCGCACCAGCGGCCCACCGCAGCTGCCCGCCGCTTCCCCGCGGATGCGCGCCAGCCAGTGCGCGTCCTGCAGGTCGGAGAGGGCAGCCTGCCAGCGGGACGCCAGCGCCTCGTCGTCGACCGCGATGGCGCCTCCCTCGTGCTGGTCCGCCGGGAGCCCGCGGCCCCCCAGGTCTGGCGGCGGGCCCTCCGTCTCGTCCAGAAGCTCCTCGGGAACGCCCGGGTATAAGAGGATGGCCGGGGCCCCGTCAACGGAGACTTTCGCAAATCAGGACGTGGTGGCGCACCCAAGAGGACTGCAACCGTGGGTCGAAGCATTCTCCAGTCTTCGATCCCTCCAGCTGGACCTGGCCAAATCCTAGTTTCTGGGGCCCGGACATGGCCAGGGCCCCGTAAACAGGGACTTTGGCGTGCCTTGAAGATTGCCCCCGTGTGTCGAAGCGTCCTCCGTCATTCGTGCTTCCCCGCTGCATCGGGCCACGCCCTGGTTTGCACAGTCCTGGTCTCCGGGGACCTGGGATGGGTGCTACACCGCTGCGCTGGTTCAGCTCGCCAGCCACAACCGTCAGACCGTCGCCTCCCTTGGACTGCACAACCCACCTGCTCAGGCTGCAGAGCGCCGCGGCCCCGCGGCAGACGTAGGGCACCACCAATCGCACCCTGGGGCGCCCCTCCGCGAACAACGCGAGCACCGTCCCGAAGAGCGGCTCGGCGCCGCTGCCGCCGCGGGAGGACCCGCACCGCTGCAGGTGCTCGTGCACACGCTGCATGGACACCACCTTTTCCATGTCGTAGGACGTGGCCAACTCCAGGGAGTGGAAGGGGCACCCGTCCACGACACGCACACCGCACGCCGTGGGCAGCATCGGCAGCGGCAAGAAGCCGTCCGACCGAAGCCTCGCGGCGGCGGCGTCCGCTAGCCGCTGGGCGAAAGCGGCCACGGCAGGGTCGGAAAGCTCCAAGCGATCCGCCGCGGGGGCTGTGCCCCAGGCCTGCAAGCCGCCGACGGACGCGGGCATCCCTCCCACTGGCCACCCGGCTCGCCCTGCGCACGCCGCGGGTTCCGCGAAGAAAGAGGCAGGCTGCGGGGGTTCCGCGAGGCGAGCCTCGGCTAAAAGTGGCTGCGAGCGGAGCCCGTGCACTCGAAACATGATCGGATTGCACGTGCCACCTCCGAAGAAAGTAAGAATTATGCGTATAACAATGCACCTTGCGCGGTCCGCGCGGATCCGCCTGCCCCCTTGCGGGGCCACCAGGCTGCGAGGGTGAAGATTGCAGCTCCCTGTTCCAGTTGCAGCTTCCAGCTTCCACTGAGAGTGCAGTCCTGCTCTCTGCTTTCTTACTGTTCATTGTCGCTGTCCGCGCGAGGGGTGGGAGCCCCAAACGGGATTTTTTACCTCGCCCTGGGAGGGTTCTCAGAATTCCTGGGGGGCCTGGGACACCTAAAGATATATCACACCTCGGAAATCCCCAATCAGTGGATGAGTTAAAAATTAGTCATATGGATCTTGAGATCGATTGTGAGATCGATAATGAGATCGATAGTGGAATCGATAGTTGACGATTGTAAGGTCGATCGTGGGACCGAGAATGAAATCGATTCAATGAGATCGATAGGGAGATCGATCGCGAAATCGCTCGTGCGATCTCTAGTGAGATCGCTTGCGAGATCGATTGTGAGATCGATTGTGAGATCGATGGTGAGATCGATGGAGAGGTGGGAAATGAGATCGATGCTGAGACCGATCGATAAAAGATCGGACCATCAACCCGGGAACCTGGGAACCTCGCCGCCCACCGAAATCGGCCCGGGAACCGGGAACCCGGGAACCGGAACCGGGAACCCGGGAACCAGGCCTGCCACCAAAATCGGCGCGAAACATTCGCCTTCTCTTTCAATATCCGACCCCTTCAGTGCAAGCACTGATTGGGGAATGATATTCACGTTCCCGGAGGCCATAAACCTTCATAAAAATGCGTATTCGCGTCCCCGAAGCCATAATCCCTCGTGAATCCATCGCTAATTGCGTCCCCGAGGCCACACATCTTCATAGATTAAACCATGTTCGCGCCACCGAAACCGCTAACCCTCGTAATTTACACAATATTCGCGCCCACGAAGCCATAAACCATCGAACATTACAATAGTCGCGTCCCCAGGGCCATGAAACCGTTGAAATTACACCATCTTTGCGTCATCGAGGCCACAAGCCTCGCAAATTACGTAATGGTCGCGTCCCCGAGGCCACAAAACCGCTCAATTCAGCAATGTTTGCGTCCCCGAGGCAACATGCCCTAGATATTCCAATATTTGTGTCCCCAAACCATAAACCATCGTACACGACATGATATTCGCGCCACCGAAGCCGGAAACCCTCGTAAATCAATATCGGCCCTCGCGTGAAGTCCAGACGTTGCTTCACGTCAGCGTCCAGACATCCCGACACAGCTCTGGCAAGTCTCATTCTAAAAAATGGGGGCCGGCGGCGGGGGGCAAAGCCCTTACTGACAATACTCAGTGGGTCGGCGCAGGACCCCCCCTGGCGCTTGCTCTGGCGCCGCCCCTGGCTCGCTCCGCGCGCCACGGAGATGGGTCCAGCGCCGATCCGAGAAATCCGCGCGTGTTTGAATTGTCTGAGCTACCATGGCTGATCAAACCCGCTCGACCACTGCTGTCTTCCACTATGTCCTCACACTTCCCTTTATGGTCCACACGTGTCCAGCCAATGCGCATTTGTGTTACGTTCCGTGGCGTTCAGTGTGACGCCCGGCCTCCATCACTGAGCATCGTTTAACCGATCCCTATCCCCAGCAGCGTGGCCTGGGCCCCACTGGCCGATCTACCCTACCTCCCTAGATGGGGACGGAGGCTGTTCCCTCTGGGGATTTCGAGGGGCATATCCCCAACTGGTGTGGTGGGATGGTGGGATGGTGGGGATCGGGGTGGGGATGAGGTTAGGGATCGGTAAAACGGTACTGACTAACCCCTCCCCCCTGGCCCAGTCCCATACTATCCTCTGGCCTGCACCCCGCTCCGCTTCGAAGATCTGCTGTCTAATCCGCTATATCCAGTTTACGGCGGGTTCGCGCTCCAATCCACGACGAGTTCGTGTCGTGACGACCCCAACACTGCTGTCTGACACCGCGTGGATCGTTCAACGTTAGACGATCGGCGGCTTTCGGAACACCAGATCGCTCCATGTCGGCCGCAGCGTCGGCACAACGCGAACCTGCCGCATTCCGTCTTAACCCAGACATCCGAGGATGTGATTTGTTCAATTCGCGGCCCAGAGAACTCGACCACTTCCCTGGCGCTGGTTTTCTCCTGGGGCCCGGGAGCCTTGAAGCGCCACCCAGACCAGAGGCCGAAACGAAGGGAAAACATGTGGATTGAAAAACCACTGCCTCAGGTGTCTGTAGCTGTTTTGACCTGCTGTAGCTGTATTGACCTTGGTTGTGTCTGGCCTCGGGATTTCACTTCGCGCTTCAGGCGTACATCCAGGACAGGGCGTACGCTCATGCGTGCACAGGGGTCGGCGGGCTTCGGCAGGGCCCATCCCGCGACCTCTCGGGCGAATGCCATGCCAGGTGCTCCCAGACCAGCTGGACCCATGCCGCCACGAGGCAGAGGTATCCTGACGACAATGGTCCTTGCACCTGAGGGTTTTCTCCACCACCAGCTACTCATCCTGGGTTTCTCCCACGAGTGGGTGTAAAGTTTTTTTTTGTTGCGTTTTGCGTTTCGCGGTCTAAGCCTACGATGACTTGCAAAGCGACGGTAAACCCCCGTCGCATCCTTGCGGCTTGAATGCGAATTTCTGGACTTCGAGAGGAGTCTGAAACAGAGGGGAATCGGAGAGGCATTTGGATGCGAATTCTTAAAGTTAGAGAGGATCCTGAAGTTGAGGAAAGCTGGCAAGGAATTTGAAAGCGAATTCCTGGAGTTCGAAAGGATTATGAAGCTGAGGGGCGTTGGCGAGGAATTTGAAAGCGAATCGCTGGAAATGAAAACGAATTCTGAAGCTGAGGGGAGCTGGCTAGGAACATCCGGGCGAATTCCTAGGAGTCAGAGAGGATTCTGACAACGGAGGGGAGTTGGCGAGGAATGTGAAAGCGAATTGCTGGACTTATAGAGGATTCTGAAACTGAGGGGGGTTGGAGAGAAATGCGCAAGCGAATTCCTGAAGTAAGAAAGGATTCTGGAGCTCAGGGGATTGACAAGATATTTGAAAGCGAATTCCTGGAGTTAGAAAGACTTCTGAAGCCCAAAGGGGGCGGGCGAGGAATTAAGCTAGCGACTTCCTGGAGTTAGAAAGGATTCTGAAGCTGAGGGGAGTTGGCGAAGAAGTTGACAGCGAATTCCTGGAGTTAGGGAGGATTCTGAAGCTGAGGTGAGTTGGCGAGGAATTCGAATGCGAATTCCTGGGCTTGGAGAGGATTCTGAAGCTCAGGGGAGTTGGCGAGGAATCCGAAAGCAACTTCTGGGGGGTAGAACGGACTCTGAAGTTGAAGGGGGTCGGCGAGGAAGGTGGCAGCGGAATCCTGGAATTAAGGAGGATTCTGGATCTGAGAAGAGTTAGCGAGGAATTTGAAAGCGAATCCCTGGGTCTAGGGAGGATTCTGAAACTGGGGTGAGTTGGCGAGGGATTTGGAGGCGACTTCCAGGAGTTAAGAGGATTCTGGAGCTGAGGTGGGCTGGCGAGGAATTCGGCGGCGAATTCCTAGGGTTCGACAAGATTATGAAGCTGAAGGGGGGGGGCGAGGAATTTGAAAACGAATCCCTGCTGGTAGCATTATGAGGCTGCGGGGGGTAACCGAAGAATGTGAAATCGAAGCCCTAGGTTACAAAGGAAACTGGAGCTGAGGGTGTTTTGCGAGGAGTGTCAAAGCGAAGCCCTGGAGTTAGCGAGG